GAATGAAATTAGGGCCTCCTTTCCCGTTCTTTGCTATTTTCAGATGCAGCCCACAGGGAGGGGATCTAGAATGGAAGTGGGAAAATAGGCCTTTTTAGCAGGATTGCGTTTGAATGGAAGTAATTGGGAATCACTCCCACTGCTGAAGGTAGAATCTGAACTCTGGATCCAAAAAAGCTGCACATTAAATAAAAATGTAATGATTTGAGAAGTATTTAAACATGTTATCTAAATGGAAACAGAATAAATAAGACAGTATTTCTCTAGTATTCTGAGAAAAAATGGTTTAATGAAAATAAATGCTCATTTAAACTTTGATGGTGCAAGAACTCTTAAAAAGTTGGGAGAGGGGGATGTTTATCACTGTGTTACATCACTTCTTCTTTTAACAACACTCTGCAAGCACTTGGGAACAGAGGAGACCCACTGCTCCCATTTTGAAAGAGTTTTGAAATAATTTTTCCATTGTTGCTTAATAACGGATTTCAGCTGCAGGCTGGGCCTGCCACCAACACAGGATTTTGAAGACCGATACGACATGCGGTGATTCAGAAATCCAGTACATGGGCCGATATTTTTTTTTCTTCAGCACCAGAAACATAAACAGATTTCCATAATTTCTGCTATGTTTAGTTATTTATGAGTTCTTACTAAGATGATATGACAATGCGGTTTAAAAAATAATCATTTTATTGTCACTAAAAGCCGTTGGCTACTTATTCTTGCTCTTCTTGGATCAGCTGGTTGTTCCGATTGTGGCAGCGAACTGGTTGTTATTTGCCATAGGAATTTGCAGACAATAGACAGTCACCTTCACCACAGTTTCCATTGAGATCCTACCAGAATTGGGAGTTTCTGTATTTGGAGCTGTGTCGCTCTGGGGCAAACAGAACTGGTGCAAAAAATCTCACAAGACTGCTAAATTAGAAGTGACCCAGTATATAGTATAAATCCTCTGCCAGTTAAAATCAAAAGAGGGCGACATGCTTTATTGAAAATTGATGTAATCCTTTATCAAAGACCTTTTTACTACTGCTGTCTATGAGCCAAATTAGACAACTATAACACTTATTTTTTTTGTCTTTGCATACGTAGCTTTTTGGTGACCGAGTCTTAACTCAGATGTATTGTCTCCAACATAAACTTGTGATCTGCTTTAGGTTACATAAATGCCTGTCAGTACATCCTTTCTGTCTATTTTCTGTCCAGTCCTGTCATTTTCTACCCGGAGACAACCTGTTCTCAGGCTGTGGCATAGCGGCAGGTCAAATTTGTGTTTATGACAGCATTGTGCGCTCCAGCACTGAACACGGTGGAAAAGAACTGCAAACAATGAACCACAAAACATGACCTTCAGGGAGAGGTAGGCTCTGGACAATCCCC